GCGTGACGGGACAGCATCTTCGAGATCGGGTATCGAGTGTAGCTGTGGTCGTTGAAAAGAGGGGTTGAAGCGGGCCGGGCGCCTGATCGAGACGCTTTGCCGCGGGGAGGCTTGGATCGAAATGCCACTGACGCCAATTGATGGGCCAACAAAGAAACGCGGAGCGATATCGATGCTGGAATCAAGAGCGAGTGCGAAACCGGCTATCGAGTAGACTTGTTGACGACGGGGGACCGGAGACGGAGGCAGCGCGAACGGAGAAGCAGCACGGCAGAAGAAGACCTCGGATGGTTGGCGGTTTCCGTTTGGAGTAGCTTGTGCAGGTGCGAGATCGCGGCAGTGAGGAGGCCAGGCCACAAGACGGGAACAGCACAGCGGCAATGGAACACCGTATCTTGGGGTAGGAATCAAAAGGCAACACGGACGGGAGGATGAATCGAGAAGGAGGGGAGCGGTGCAGGTTAATTGGGCGAGGCAAGTCGCTACAATGCGAGTTGCTGGCACCCCGCACTTGGGAGGAGGACGACGGTTGAGGAACAGGCAGTCGGAGGAGGAGGCAGGTGCGTGGGAGCTTGGCCCCTGCACCCCAGAGTGGGAGCTGAGCTCACCCCAGCATGCCCCTAAAACATCCTGGAACTGTTAGGGCAGCGCCGAAATGGAAACACGTAGAAATGCTCCCAATCTCTCCAAGCCGGTTTCTAACTGGTGCGTGAATGACCCGCCACGTTCTGTAACCATCGTCCTCTCTGCCACGGCGTTGAGATTGCTCGCAGGCACGCCGTGACGTCTTTGCGGGCCTCCAAAAGTGACACCTCCGCTAACAGCGTTCCAGGCGAGTGTCCATCAGGTGGTCGTGCGGGGAATGATGTCACTTGCGGAGCTGGAGAAACGTTGCCGCGTTTCCGCCGGGGAGCTTGGGCCGCAGACACCTCAAATCTCAGGCACTAACCTGGTCCGAGAGCAGCCGAGACTTTCGGAAAATCGGAAACGGCGAAAACCGCTCGTCTTGCTGACTCGAACCTTTCTCTTCCCATAAAAAAGCTCTTTCGACACTCATTCCTCCATCGCCTCTAATCACCCGTCAAGATGTCTTGGTTCGGTGTCACCCCGCTCAAGAAGTTCCCGGCGCCTGTGTGTACGTCAATTGACCACCCAGACGCAGCGACGACGCCGTCGCGGTCGCGGACATCCGATGCTGGACATCTTTGCTGACCACCACACGCTCTGGCTGCAGTGAGGCCGATGGCCCCCTTCTTCGCCGCCGGCCTGGTCATTGCCTATGGCATCAACGCCGCCCAGAACTCCATGATGGCGGGTACGCTCGCTGCCACCGCTGGCACAGCTTGATCACACACTGACAAACCCCGCAGGCGACGAGTGGAAGAACGATCCCCGCAACAAGAAGGCCGCGTCCGCGTCGCACTAGACCCTGCGTCAGTGATGGAAACGACGAGACGAGATACGCTGCGCGATTCATTCCCCGATCCGACTTGCGGGCTCAGCGAAGGCGGCGTTGTATCATAGGAGCACTGGCAATATCAATTGAGCTGTGTGGGATACGGACTGACAGTCCGACGTGGCCCCGACCGACCCATTCTCATGGTGATCTCCCGTCTCGACACCTCGAGCTACCAGCTAGCTTCCGACTCGATTCTCCAATCCTTCCTTCAATCCCCTCACCCCTCGCGTTCCGGACGCAGATCCTGCATCTGCCGCAGAACAACCTCGCCGGACAGCTTGGACTCCCAAGCTCAATCCCTTCCCATGCCCATACACAATCACGGTTCGATCAGGGGGGAAGCCGACGCGCAAGCCGAGGCGTTGCCAGCAAACATGTTGTTCTTCAACGTGTTATCGACGTTCACTGCCATTTTCCCGATTGGTGTGGACGTTTTCGCTCTGGCATAGATTAATATTTTGACACGTTGCTGGGCGCCCGCATAGAGAACTCGTTTTGCAGTTCACGGACATGTTGGGAATCAGTAGAGGTTACATTCCATCTTGATGCATTTGCTTTCTCAATTGTTGCAGCGTTTTCGGCTTGCTTGTCCAGCAAGCGCAGCTCTGAAGCTTCCATGCCGTTTTGCACACGTTTGACACTTTGCCATGCCTTCCAGTCGAACCTATGTAGCCAATTGAACAATTCACTGCTTTCAATGACCATCCTCTTGACGTGCCTCGGGGAAAGTGAAGCTGGAGCTGTTGTTTACGTTTTGCCCCGTGGCAGAATTCGCCCCACATCCGAGCTTGGTGCGGCACCTCCGAGCTGATTTCTCAGCACCCGAGTCGTCGATGCACCTCATCATTGAAACTCACCCCAACGCCACAGATAAATGCTGCTTCAAGCCGTCCGCACTCCAGCCAGGACACTCGCCCGCAGTCCCAAAATCTTCGTCACCAGCATCAAATTCCTCACCACCTGCAAAATGAGCGACAACCCCGCATCGCAAGGCGCACCTCCGCCGCCCGCATCCAGCGCAGCAAGTGACTCAGCATCCGCGCCAGCATCCGCATCAACCTCCGCCGCGCCCACGCCCACCTCAACACCCAAGCCCGGCCAGCGCCAGCAAAATAACAATGGGCGCCCGGCGCGACCCCCTAAGCCGGCACCCCCTCCCAAAAAGGAACTTAAAATCCTCATGCTGCACGGATACACGCAGTCGGGCCCGCTGTTCCGCGCGAAGACGCGCGCGCTGGAGAAACTCATGGCGAAGGCGCTGGCGCCGCTGAACTTGGTGCCGGTTTTGATATATCCTACTGCGCCGAACCGGTTGAGCGCGAGGGATATTCCGGGTTTTGGGAGTGCGAATGCGAATCAGGAAGGGGGGGAGAGTAATGGCGAAGGGGAAGAGGATGAGATTGATAGCTGGGCTTGGTGGCGACGGGATGAGGCCAGTGGGGAGTATAGGTTTTTCGAGGAGGGCATGGAGGCGCTGGCGGAGGCGATGAGGGGGGTGCAGGGGGGTGTGGATGGGGTGGTTGGGTTTAGTCAGGGGGGGAGCGTCGCGGCGTTGTTGGCGGGTGCGATGGAGGCGGGGAGGGAGGTTCCTGCGGAGGAGGGTGAGGAAGGGGGGAGGAAGTGGGAGTGGGTGAGGAGGGTTAGGGAGGCGAATGCGGGGAGGGAGTTGAAGTTTGCGGTGGTGTATAGTGGGTTTTGGGCGGTGCCGAAGGAGTTGGGGTGGGTGTATGAGCCCAAGGTGAGGACGCCGACGTTGCATTATATAGGGAGCTTGGATACGGTGGTGGAGGAGGGGAGGAGTAGGGGGTTGGTGGAGAGGTGTGAGGAGCCGGCGGTGGTGGTGCATCCGGGGGGCCATTATGTGCCTGTGAGCAAGGAGTGGGTGATGCCGTTGGTTGGGTTTGTTAGGAAGTGTGTGGAGGGGAAGGTGTGAGTTGGGAGAGATGGGGTGTAGACGGGTGGTATATGGATCGGGAATAGGGGAGGCGGATATGGTTATAGACAGACATAGAGATACAGGAGCGCGGTGCCGATAGCATGTAGACGTCTGCTTTCATGGAGCTACAGGAAATTTTCTTGGGAGACTTGCTCACTGCATCATAGACCTCTTCGAAGGATACACCACGCTCTCGGGCGGGATGATACCCATCATGGAGTTCTCATCCTCGACCTTCTCTGCCGGAATCCAATCCCGCCCCTTGTACATGGACCCCTTCGTCTGACGCGTCGGCAGATTGCCGCGGTCGTACTCGTTACGGCCAATGTTCATCTTGCTCGCCGTGCGTCCCCTCTCCATGATCTCGTCCCGACGAGGAGGGTCGCCAGCGACGAAATTGGGCATCTCCTCGATGGGGAGCAGGTCCGGCCGCTCGAGGTTCACTCTCCCTCTCCGTATCGCGCGCGGGACTTTGCTGGACTTCTTAACGTTGAACTCGTCGATGCCGCCGGGATCCTCTTGGTATTTTTTGGCGGTCTTGTCCTCGGGGCCGCCTTCGCCGAGGTAGGCGGAGCCGTGGATCATGCTGGTTCCGGATGGTGGTTAGCCCCTTTTCGTCGTTGGGGGGGTTATTGATGATGGGAGGGGGGAGGGGGGCATACTGCTTGTGGTCATCAATCTCACCACCTTCCTCAGGCGGAATTCGCCGGTTCATGCTGGCGCTCGTCACGACATCCTCGCCATACTTGACGCTCGATCCGGGGAACTTGGATGTGATGCGGGAGCCTGCGTCTTCGATGTTTGCGGGATGGTCTTGGCCGGTACCCGTCTTGGATTGGTACGTGTTCAGATCATGCTCTGCTTTTTTTGCGATGTCGTTGAGCTTCTTGGGGTCGGGAGATTTCTTGGGCATCGTCGTTGGACGTTTTCGGATTCTGGTGAGGGGTGATGATCCAATGTGAACGAAAAGGAGAGGAAAGGGGTTGGGAGTTGGATTACTTCCTATCTGATGTAAGGGTGAAGAACTGTGTGATACCTTCTGGCGTCATCGTCTGTCATGGTGTTGGGGACAAGGAACTGGGGTCCCGTTGTCTGTTCGCTAGCTCCGTTGACTACGTCACATCACCGGGGATATCTCCCGTGCGACGACTGACACCTGTCAGACCAAACCTTTTTGCAACCTCTTCCGGGGGTCGCAAATGATGAACGTTGCTTTTTGCCATTGATGGGTTCATGTTTCGTGGCCCAACAGAGGCAAGCAAAGCAACCGCTGCGGCACCCAACACCTCTCCCAAGAAGACTTCTCCAACTTGGCAGGAAGGTATCCAAAACGCAGGCATTCAACTCACCCAAAGACCTCCAAAAATCGCCGACCCTAGATGTCTCTGCACCTTGACCCTTCCCGTCTCCACTCCCCCCTACCCCTTTCTAGGCGGGAGGTGCGGAGTCCTATCCACGAAACCCAATCCCAATGCCGGAACTCAATTCCATCACCCCCTCTTGTCCTCTCGGATTTCCAGGTTCTCACCCATCTCAATGTTTTCCTGGATAGCGAATTTCGGCGCATGACCATAAACCCCTTTTGCGAGCCGGTTTTGCATCTTAGCCCGCTTGGCTCAGTGGTAGAGTGTGTCACTCGTATGACGAGTAATGATAAGGTCGTCAGTTCGATTCTGGCAGTGGGCATGGAACTTTACTTTTGGTGGTTGGCCCGTCGCATTCATTTTGGATGGTTTCAGGTTGAACTCCCCTTTTTTCGCCCTGTTGTTGGCTTTCGGTGTGCTGGGCGAGGTGCTGTTGCGGCTCAGCAGCAGGCTTTGCAGTGCCGACGGACAATGCCATTGCTTTTGTCCCTTCCTCGGTTCTGCGATTTCTGTGAGATGTGGGTTGGGGAAAAAGAAAAAGACTGTGAACAAAGACGTCAATAACATGGGATGCGAGATCCACGATGCCCCAATATCCCGCACGGGTCACCGTAAATTCAACAAGCCTAATGTAGATGGGGTGAAGCCAGCGCAGTATGATGGATGATATGGAACTATCGACGAATACATCGCAAAGATGGTTGCATATTCCAAGGACGTGAAAACACTTCTCAGAATATGCCAACCAACAGGTCCCCCAATTCCTACTGCTCAGCTGCAGATGTCGCAATGGATCTCGAACCCCTATTCGCACAGTTAGAATCGCCTTGCATCTCTCAGGGGCATGTCTGTCTTCCGGCACTTACAAGATCTGTGCCCGGCGATCCGGCGCCGTCGCCGAGAAGAGGGAAACGCCTCTGGATAGCCCACTCGGTGGTGTTGGCCGAGTAGTTGAACAAGATCTGCGAATTGGGCGAGCGGTGCTTGTACATCTCGATCAAATCTGAATAGGTGCGTGAGTGATGGATATCTCAGATGACAGAGGAAGAAAAAGAAAAAAAAACTTACCCTCACATCAGATGATGACTTCCTCTTGCTTTGCGCTTCGCTCTCCATTTCCAATGCCGGTGCCGTGCCAAGTGGTACCGTCAAGACGACTGCCGAGGGTCTCGATGCCAACCTCGGGGCCCATGAGAGAGACTACTGCGGTTAGTTGGTGCTTATTTCGGGGTTGGAATATAGCCAACCTCGCAGATTATAGCCGGCCTTGATGATGTTCGCAGCATCCTGTCGAAGGGCGGCGTCGATCAAGGCGGGATCGAAACCTTGCTGGATGATAAGGGGATGGGAAGGGGGGAGGCCGCTGGAGAAGAGAAGTCAGTTCATCGTTGCTCGACATCAGAGGGTATCCCCGAGAGCATACGTGAAGAATATGTTGACTTCGCCGCAGTTGAATGGCTTCGTATGGAGTCGGGATTATCTTGGCGGACGCCCAGCACTGCGGCAGAGACGCTGCTGGCGAAGGCCAGCGAGAGGGCGATGATTATGTTCAACAGAAGCATTGTGAGGATGAGCTGGTGGTTGATGAATGCGATGTAGCCGATGGCTCAAAATCCCTGGTCTGACCGTTTGAATGTGAAAGAAAGAAGAAAACCAGGTTCGAGATCCAAGACTTGGAGGCCATTTTTTATACCTTCGATTTCCTCCCAGGAAGCATTCACTGCAGTCCTTTTCGTCGCAAGAGATCTCGGCGATCCATTCCACCGATGTCCCCGACCAGGATCTGGGCGGCGCGTCGCATGGTAGTGTGGTGAATGGGGGCCTACATGAGATATAAGTCAGATGGTGTCTTCCCGTTGTTGAGACGAAAGCTTCCCTTCCCCATGGAGAGAGAAGAGAATGGCATCAAGGTGGCCCGGAAACACAAACTTCAAGACGGGTCCCAAATTAGGACCAGCGCTTTGGATTTCGTATACTTGACAGGCCAATCAGGTCGTTGGCCGCCGTGACAACTTGTGAAGTCCGCCTGTCGGCCACAAGCACCGAATAGAAGCGTCCCAGCACCTGGTCCAATGTCCAATGGGAGTTGATGCTCTCCCTCCCTCCTAGAAGAACACGGACGTCATCTTCAAGCGCCACAGTCTAGGCAACCCACGGTCGTAAAAATCACGCATTGCACAAAACACGCCGAAATGACCTGCAGCAAAAACACCTAGGAACATGAGCTCGAATCATTCTTACATCCCACTCAACCCTGAGCGGCGTGAGATTCGCCTCCTGGAAATCTCACCCTGGAAACAAGACCAAAACGAGCAGTTACGCCTCATCCTGAAGCACACCGAGCTCGACAATGCAGAGCCTTTCGACGCGCTCTCCTACACCTGGGGCGACCCGCACCCAACGTTCACAGTCAATCTCGACGGCGCCGAGTTCGACGTCAGGGAGGGCTTGCACACGGCCCTTCTCAACTTCCGGCAACGCGACGAGTCGTGTCTCCTCTGGGCGGATGCCATTTGCATCAACCAGGATGACGTCCGCGAGCGGGAGTCCCAGGTCGGCATCATGCAGCATATCTACAGCGCCGCTAGATTCGTCCTTGCTTGGCTTGGGCCGCCTACAGGGGACGGCGATGTCAGAGCTCTCAAGTTTCTGAGCCAACTTCATGCGAGGACGCTATCATACTGCGTTGCCGACGGCGATACCGCAGCGAGCACATCGGCGGAGCCGGGCAGCTTTCAGTACAGCCTGACGCTCAACGCCGACAGCAAGGAGGCCGTCGAGTGGATCCGATCCGTCACGCCGCTGGGCATGGTCGACAGCCCCTGGTTGGATGTCATCCTGCTGCTGGAGAAGCCCCTTTTCCGCAGGATCTGGGTGGTTCAAGAGATCGTTCTCGGGACAGTGGTTAAGGTGTACTGTGGGAACGAATCGATCGACTTGGCCGCCCTTCTCATGGCCCATCACGTTCATTCGACTCTATCGACGCACGATCCTTGAGATTGCCGGTCCCGGAAGGTCGGACGATGCCAATGTGGTCGAGTTTTGGAACTCTTTCAGGCCATACGCCCGTTTATCCATCGTTCAGGAAGTCATTCACACCATAGGCGGCTGTAAAGAGCGTCTTCAGGGACAAAATCGATATCGATGGGTGGCGGAAGCGTTGCAGCGTCTCAGCGTCAGCAACACTGAGTTGCCGGGCACACTCGAGGAGTTCAAAGCCACCTTCGTGGACAAGGTCCAAGAGTCGACCCAAGTGCAGATACCAGCCGGCATTTGGGAGGCGATCTTCAGGGACTTCACCAATCTGCGGGATCCGCAAAGCATGCTCGATCGCAACGTCAAGTGGAATGGCGACCTGTACGCCCTATTCAAAAGGTTTCGCCCGTTTTTCGCGTCAGATCCGCGAGACAAGGTGTACGCCCTGCTCGGCATCGCCGACGCAGCCGAGAAGATTCCAATATTGCCAGCCGTGCATTACGAGATCGACGTGTTGGAAGTCATGTGGAATCTCCTTGTAGCGCACGTCCAAAACAACGGGACGCTCAATTTTCTAAGTGATGGCTGTGGGATAGGGCGGCCTGATGGTTTCCCGTCCTGGATGCCCCTGTGGTATGAAACAAGTGGCCCGATGCACTCGCGGGCGCTCAAAGGCTTCGAATTCGAACCTCACATCCAGTACCGCGCCGGCCGCCACAGCCGTGTATCCATATGGCGAAGCGCTGATAGGAAATCAGTAACTCTATGTGGGGCAAGGCTAACCGTCATCGAGTCGACTACCGACGCCTACGATATGGGATCCGATGCGGACGGGCGGAAGATCCTCTTTCGAATCTTTCGGCATGCTGCAGAGCTCATGGGCGTTTCCGACGCCATCAAGGCGGCGTACCCTTCCGAGTTGATACCTTTTGAGGAGGAAGCACCCCTCTACCAGGGTACCATCACGTCGGAAGAACATCTTCGATACCAGTCATTCCAAGCCATCAGGACTTTGTCGGTACGGTTCATGACGATGAACGAATTTCACGAGGCGTCCCCAAGGACCACTGAGTTTCTTGCCGTTGAGACTATCGCTGAGGGAATGAGTGGCTTGGATATAACCCGGTCGTTGATGTTAGCGCGTCTTGTTCAGTCCTGGCACGGCAGACGGTTCTTTACGAGCAAAGATATTGACGGGAAACTATTCTTTGGCTTGTGTCCGGCCGAGGCAAAACCCGGAGACGAAATTGCCTGTTTCATCGGCGCAGACGTCATGTTTGTGATTCGCAAGGAGGAGGGGGATGTGGGAGATAAACCGGCATATGGCTTGGTCGGTGAGGCATATATGCAGGGCTTGATGAGCGGCGAAGTGGTTGAGAAAATGGTTGTTCCGGGCGACCCTGAGCATTTGTTTTGCGAGACGATCCAGCTGGTTTAGCTGGCGGATGGCGGATGTAACCTTGTAGGTCTTCACCTGGATCTTGTCTGGGAAGTGCTGGTCTTTGCTAGTAGACAGGTAGCGTAATTCCAATATTTGGCGAGAAGAAACCCGAAGCCAAAACCGAGCAAGCGCCAGTTCCAGCGAAAAGAACGTGAGAGATGGGTGAGAGCCAAAGCGCACCCACCCTCATCCAAGCGACCCAACTCGGGACCCGGCTCTGCTCGGTGACCACACCTGCAGAGCGGCTGGCTGGCTAGCTGAACGGGGTGCGCCCCTGTATGCATGCCGGAGGCGGTACCGCGTCGCCCCCCGATGGTGTGCTGGTGCGATGCAGCTTCAGTGCAACGTCCCCGTTGGGTTAGCCCGAGGATGGGATGTCGGCAAGCTGTCCGCAGGAGGCGCATTTCCGCCAAGACTCGGAAGGCGTTCTGCTGTGGGAGGAAGGAAGGAGCTATAAGTAGCAGCTTCTTGGGTGGCGCTTTCTTGACGGTGCCAAGGTCGGGTGGTCGCATTCCGGTTGTTTTGGTTGACTGCTCATATCTCCTTGTTCTTGTCGTTGATCGGGTATTTCGACTTTCGAGATGGGCGAGATGATCGGGCTTCGCGATGAGGGCAGCCCCCTTTCTTGGTTCCAGGAGCGACTCTGGGTCCACTATGAGCGCAACCCCGATGACACGAGCTGGAACCTGCCCTTCCCGTTGCTCATCCAAGGTGATCTCGACGTCTCGGCACTGGAGCGGAGCGTGAACATCATTGCAGCTCGCCACGAGGCCCTGCGAACTCTGTATGGCTCGACAAAGGACGGAGAGACGCAGCAGTTTGTCGCACCACCACGATACGTGCCGCTACCTGCCGAGTCTGTTGACCGGGTCCAACTCCTGGACTGTCTTGGCCAACTTCTCAAG